CAGGCGTCCAGGCCCCAGGAGAGGGAGAGCACCTGAGTTGGAGAGACTTTGGAAGCTGTCACCTGCCTCCAGCGAAGGGCCATCAATCCATAAAGCTGGTCTGTGCTGCCTTGGGGCTGAGGAGAGGGTGGTGCAGTGGTAAGCCTGGACTAGGGACCCCACTGGCTCTGTGTTTCTGTCTTAACTGAGAGGGTATCATTCTGCCCTTCATTCTTGCCCCTTGGAGAAGAATTCTATGTACCCATTTCCCAGTGAGGTGGGTGAAGGCAGAAAGACAGGGAGATGACTAAACCTGTTAAGAAACAAATGGATGGATTCACAGCCAAGCTCCCTTTGGTTCTTCAGGTCCAGGAATGAGGTGGGAGCAGAACTCATGGGACATGCGGATGGCTTTCTCCATTTGTGAGTCCCCTCCCTCACCCCACCACCTCACCACCTGGGGGAGAAACATCGAGGGTTAAGTCCCTGCAAGCTCTTGGATGTGGCTGTGATATGATGTATCTTTGGAGGCGTGGGGAGCCTAATCAAACCCTGAGACTGCAGCCTGTACCAAGGAGGACAGGTCTTTGCGGTACAGTGGTCCTTGCTCACCCCATGCATCAGAGACTCCTCAAAAGTGTCAGTGAAAGTGTTAGTCACTCAGTCATGACTGACTCTTTGTGACTCGGACCCCATGGACTGTAGCCTGCCAGGCTCCTCTGTCCATGGGATTCTCCAGGCAAGAATACTGGAGTGGGTAGCCATTTTCTTCTCCAAGGGATCTTCCTTACCCAGGAATTGAACCTGAGTCTCCCACTTGTGGGCAGATTCTTTACCATCTGAACCACCAGGGAAGCCCAGAGACTCCTTGCCACCTCTCTAAATCAAGGTCATTTAAAGGGCTTGTTCATGCCTCTCTTTTTTTTTAATTTAATGCCTCTTTTTTAATGCGTTTCCTTCTTCCAGCTTCCCCTCATCCCATCTCCTGTTGACTTTGAAACCACTTTCCTTGCAATCCTGAACTTCCAGCCCCCAAATCTAGCTCATTTCTTTGTGGAAATATCCGGGGACAAATTGCCAAATCTTGTCCTCATGCCTGTGTATCTGGTGTGGCTCTGTGGCCTGGATCTGGGGTCCTCAGACTAGTATCTGCCTGAGATCCTAGCATATGGCCATAATAAAGCAACAACAACTATGGATCTTTATGGATCTCCAACCCTGTGCTACCCACTGTACTAAGCACCTTACGTAATTAAGTCATTTAATTATCACAAAAGAAGACATGGATTACAGTGATCATCACATTTTACAGTTGTGCTAACTGAGGCAGAAAGAAATTAAGCCACTTGCCCCAAGTCACTACTAGTAAGTGGCAGAGCTGAGATTCAAATACAGGCGGTCTGAGTCCAGAGACCACACTCTAAAGTCCTCTGCTACATTGCCTCTCCACTCCAATGCCTTTAAATGTTTATTGGGCTGACTGAGAGGGCAACTGAGACAGCCCCCAGTGCACTGGGGCAGAGGGACATGGCTACACTGAACGTCAAACACCTGAAGCTTTGGGGTTCCCAAGGGCACAGGTGGCAGGAGCTAACAGGGTGATGCCGGTGCTTGGGGAGGGGGAGCATGGCCCTCACCTTCTCCAATCCCCATAGCTATTTTTCACACTGGAGCCCTGCATCTAGACAGCTCCCCGCTCCTCCCCTAGGAGCCTGGAGATAGCAGGGAAAGACCTGAAAGATCAGCCTAGAAGCCCAAGTAAGCTGGGAGTCAGAGCTAGGACCTCCAGAGGCCGATAGATGGCGCTCGTGGCCCAATACAACCCAGGCAGCCCAAGAAAACCAAAGGAAAACAAGCCCGCAGGTTAACCCCTTACCACCTGGGCTCCAGCTCCAGAAGCAGGCTGGTGGGCAGCTGAGGACCCTGTCCCAAACCCGGCTGGCCCTTACAGAGTGACGCCACTCTCTAGGCTCTGCCCAAGCCACAGCTTAGGTCTGCTTCTGCTCCTTCCCCACAAGTTCTATCCGTGGATGCCAGCCAGCCCCTTGGAGACTTCCCAGAGGGCCAGGAGACTGACATGGACAAGGCAGGGTGGGAAGCCCCACCCCAGCCCAAGTTTCATCTCTCAGGCTCCATCTCTTAAAAGTCTATTGATCTCTGTTTCTAATCACCCCCACTTGGGAGAGCTCCTCACGTCCATCTTTCCTGAGAGGGACTCACCAGGTGGGGAGGAGTAGCATGGACCAGAGACAGAGAAGGCCCTCAGGCCACTCTAGGATCAGCTACAGGGACTTCAGGTTGCCCAAGACTTAGTTTCTCTCCATGTCGGGACTCCCTATTTTTGGGTTTCCAGGGGCGAATGGGCTTACAGGGACAGAAACAGTTATGTAGCCCTTCCAGGAAGATGGAATCGTCGGTCAGGGTCCTGGGGAATCTCTGCTTGCCTGTCAGTCACTTCACTCATTACTGTCCTGCCGGCTGACTTGGAGTGTGGAGAGGTTGCTATAACGACAACCTGATGGTGCTTGGCAGCAATGGGTGACGGGTGAGGCGGCAGGAATGTTGTCAAAGGGATGGGGAGGTTCCTGGACGTTTTAAAAAAAATTCTGGCCAAGCCGTGGAGTTTGTGGGATCTTAGTTCCCTGACCAGGGACTGAATCTGGGACCACAATAGTGAAAGCACTGGGTCCTAACCACTGGACCATCAGGGAATTCCCTCCAAGAATTCTTAAGCAATAAGATAATACCACCAGCATGGTTCCCCTCCCTGCCTAATTTTTGTTTAGAAACACAGAAATGCATAGATCTATGGAGATAGAGACGCCTGAGTGAAGAGCCAGTCAGAAAGTCAGGATACTCTTATTTCATTCATTCCAGAGGAAAAACGCAGAGACAGGGAGATAGATGTATACAGAAGGAGAGAGAGACTATACAAGAGACTAGGGATAGAGATACATATACATAGGCAAAGAGAGTCAAAGACACAGAGAGGGAGAGAATATGGCACAAATGAAACCTCAGGAAATAGTGGACTTTGTTGAAGGGGATGATTAATTCAGTTTCCAAAGTCTTACAAGGGTAGGGGTGGTTTCTCATCTGTGGTTCAGAGGGTCACTGCTCACAGCTCCCTGAAGCTCCTGCTGCACCCTTTAAGTTTTTATCTGTTGGCAGGAGAGCAGGGGATTGGAGAAGGAAACGGCAACCCACTCCAGTGTTCTTGCCTGGAGAATCCCAGGGACGGGGGAGCCTGGTGGGCTGCCGTGTATGGGGTCGCACAGAGTCAGACACGACTGAAGTGATTTAGCAGCAGCAGGAGAGCAGGGGAGGCTAGAGAAGTGGGTAGCATCCTTGTTCTCTCACCTCTTCTTCTTCTGGGATTCACTGGTCTCCACCTGCAGGGAGACTGCTTTCCTCTGGTCTCAGTCATGGCTGTGCTGGGGCCATTCAGGGGGTGGGGATGGGAAGAATCTACAAGATAACTGACCTTATGGGGTTTCCAGTCTAATGACAATAGTATAGTCAGGACGCAGAAACAGATCCAGCCACAGGACAAGAACAAAGCTAGGAGTGGGACAGCTTTGGATATTAGTATTGGGTTGGGAAGGTGGGAGTGGATGAACTGTTAGATGCAAACATAGAATTGGTCAAGGAAGGTGTCCTGGACAGAGTATTCCCAGAGGTAGGACTGGGAAGGATGGAAGGTAATAGGGCTGGGTAGACAGCAGGGCCGAGGAGGGAGAGAAGTGAAATGGTAAAGGGGCTTGGACAGTAATGAGGGATGCAAGAGTCTCAAGGTTATTACTAAGGAGTTTAATTAGAGATGCCAGAAGTGCTTTCGTGGGTGTTCTTTTTTTTTTTTTTTTGTGGGTGTTCTATATACAGTCCTTGGAGGGCTGCATAGGAGAGGTTTTTTGTTTTTTGTTTTTCTTTTTTAGGAGAGGTCTCTTATATCTGGAGCAGCAGGAGGGCTAGAAATAGTCTGTAGCCATTGTTAATACCCTCAGGTGAGTTAAGAGACTGCAGATAGTTGAAGCTCCTTGATTCACAATCCCTTTGGGAAAAGTGTATGAACTTTTGGACAGGTTATGTAGAGCCCAGAATCGTCAAAGTCCTTACAGAGCTTAGCTTCTCACTTCTCAAGTCGTCTGGATTTAGCCCTGGTGTAAAGAATAAACTACAACCCCCAGAGTCACTTATGGCGAACTTAGCACCCTTTCCGGGAATTTGAGTATTTCCGGCGGAAGTGGCGGCAGCTATGCCAATCTCTTTCCCTAAACAAAGTGGACTACAACTCCCACGGTCCTCTGCGCCCGGCGGGGGTTGGGGTGGGAAAAGGAACCGGAAACCGGATGGGGCGCTGGACCAGGTGAGGAAGTAGGAGTCTGGGAACCTGGGGCGTTGCGGGGTGGGCTAGGGCTCCCCGGGCTAGCCGGAGGTGACAGGTGGAGAGTGGAAATGTCTGTTTCGGGGCCCCTCTCTCCGTCAGGGGCTCGCCCGGCGCAGAGAGAGCCGAGCCCATGGAACCGCCCCGGAGACCTGCTGAGACGAGGCTTTCCCGTCGGGCGGAGCCCGCGGGCGGACGTGGAGATTTCTTGTGGATCCTTACTTGTCAGCCCCCTCGAACTAGGAGGAGAGATGAAGTGTTGTTTCTGAGTCCATGCTCTATTAGTATTATTGTTATCATTATTGGTTTTAAGGATTTGCTGATTGTCCATGTGGATTCCTGAAGTGCCCCCAAGGCACACGGGAGTGGAGATGGTCTTGGATTCCTTCTGCCTTTACTGTGTTTAGTGCCAGAGAGCCTAGGTGGCCAGACTGACCGGTGGATCACCCTCCACTTGTGCTTAATGTGACTCTGTAATTTATCAGTTACTTCAGAAACAGACATTTCTTGATCTCTGCCCGTGGGTGACTTTACATAGAACTTCCTGGTTTCTCCTTTGGGCTTCTATGTTGTTTTGTTCAGGACATTAAAGCTGGAATCACAGTATGTCACAGTGTATTACAGTTGTTTATCTGCCATGTCACAGTCGTTTATGAGTCGTTTATTCATTTTGGATTTCTCTCCCACCAAAAGACTACCACAAGCCCTATCATGTAAGAGACTCATAAATATTGGGGGGAAAAATGAGTTAACAGCTGGTGGTAGGTTGGATGGGAATTTTGATTTTCATCTCATAGAGAAGACAGTTAAATGACTTGCTTAAGAGAATCTTAGAGATGAAACCAGGACTAGAATTAGAGTCAGTTGACACACAGCCTGTAGCTCTTGCCTTCTGATCAGGCTTTGAAATTCTAGAACATTGAAAATAAGGCCTTGTCACTCTTCTCTGTATCCCTGGCCTTGCTGTCTTCAGGATGGGTCCCTAAAGATCAAAGGTAGGCTCAACCTTAAGACCCGAGAGAGATGCCAGACTTGGAGCAGGCAGTCTGCTAGCGTTGGCATTGTATGGGCCCCGGAGACAGCTGAGCTGTCCACAGCTCCCTGCTCAGCCTGTTTGAGTTCAGCTGGCCCTGGGTAGCCACCTGGACAGATCAGTGAAAGACTTCTGAGAGCAGTCTAGGGAAGGATTTCCTAAGTTTAGCCCTGACTTTTTAAATTTTTATATTATATTGGAGCATAGTTAAGATTTTTTTCCTCTCTCTTTCCCACTTTGCCAAGGCTAGGGTCAGAGAACAGGTTGATGGATCAAGCTATTGTGTCAACCTTGTGATCCCATCTGGGGGAAGAGGCTACTCTTGACCTGCACATGGGGTTAAGAGGGAGAAGAACCATGATCCCTGCCCTGTGGGAGGCCCAGATGTGATGGAAACGTGCCCAGAGCCTGGCAAACACTTAGAAGCAAGGAGAGTGCAAAGCGGGCAGCTGAGCCTTGAGTCAACTCAGGGTGTAGAAGTGAAGAGGAGTCTGTCAGGAAAGGATCTTTGGTAGAAGGTAGTTTTATTTTTACTTATTTATATTGGCTGCGCTGCGCGGCTTGCAAAATCTCAGTTCCCTAATCAGGGATTGAATCCAGTTCATAGCAGGAATCCTAACCACTAGGCAACCACGGAACTCCCAAAAGGTAGTTTTAAACAGCATTGAAAAAAGATGAGATGGACACAGTTAACTGTCAGATAGAAGCTGGGACCTTGGAGATATGGAGGAAAATGAAACAGGGCTTCCTCTCTGATCTGCCTCAAGTCTAGTCTAGGAGGCAAGGTGTGAATTCATGAAGATGCCACTAACCATGGTGACATGCAGTGGTTCTCAGCCATCACCAACCATCGGAATCTCTTGAGGAAGCTTGTTTAAATACAGCTTCCCAGGCCCCACTCCAGACCTATTTGGGTTGGGTAGGGCTGGGAAGCTACAGCAAATGCTGCGGTGTCCTGAAGAGGGACAACTTTCCCAGAGGGAGAATTCGAGCTTCATCTGGAAGGGCAGGTATGACTCAAATTTGTGTGTGGGGGGTGGGGCAGTCAGTCCTGCTTTAGTCAAGGAGTCTATGAAAAGTTGGGTTTGTGGAAATAGCATGTGTTAGGTTTTGGGAGTTCGGATAGGAAAGGCATTTTGAAAGTGTGAATGGAATGATCAGTTTGGGCCTCTGGGTTCACATGGGAGTGATGAGAAGGAAGATTGGAAGGAGTGGCCTTTGTGGGTTACAAAGCTAGCTGGGGTGCTGCCTCTGCCTCTTCCCTATTCCCTCTTTCTTGTCCTCTTCCGTTTCCCACTTTGCTCCCCCGACCGCCATTTACACATCTTACTCCATTTCTTATAGTAATATTTTTAAGTGTTGCTGTTTAGTGTCCCAGTCGTGTCCGACTCGTGACCCCATGGACTGTAGCCCACCAGGCTCCTCTGTCCATGGGATTCTCCAGGCAAGAATACTAGAGTAGTTTGCCATTTCCTCTTCCAAGGGATATTCCCGACCCAGGGGTTGAAACCATGTCTCCTGCATCACAGGCAGATTCTTTGCCACTGAGCCACATGGGTCTCCAGTATTTTTAAGTGGATATTATTTTTCTTAGTATTTGGATGAGGAAACCTGAAGCTCTGGCCGTGGTTACATAGCTTGTAGGAGTCTAGTCTGAGTCTGCTAATTGTCTCACTCACCACTGAGGATTCTTGAATGTGGGCAAAAATCTGGGTTGGGGTTGGGGGGGGGGCTCTAGAATTAGCAGGGTGGCTGATCAAACTGTCTCAAGCAAGATGGGTATGGGTGGTGAAAAGCAAAGCCTTGTGTCAGATGGTTTGGTTCAGATTCCAGCTGCATTACTTGCTAAATGACCCTCAGCAAGTTGCTTGATCTTGCTAAGCCTCAGTTTTCTCACCTGTAACATGGGAGCAGTAATGCCCACCTCATGGGGTTGTTATATGCATCATTGAGGGGTACCTGGCACAGAGCAATTGCTCACCACCTGGAATCTATTGAAATCAGCTCTGTAATTAGTCTCTGCGCTGTGGCTGTGCACCTTCAGCTAGTTGGTTTGCAGAACACAGCCCATCCTGGATGGGCTTGTTTTATTAAGGATGACAGTAAAAGTGCTGAAAGTTTGCCATCTAAATAGTCATTGAAAACCTCGGCATGGCCTAGGAGCTAGTGACCCTAAACCTATGCCTGGTGGAAAGGGGGTTTGGAGTGGGGGATGACTGGTGGTTATGGGCCATGCTCACTAGGTGCTTTATGAAGAGGAAGAGCACTTGAATCCAGGAGAGGAAGGGCCCTTCATTACCAGGAACTGGGATGAGTGAAGACCTGCCTCGAGGTTGAGGGCTGACTGACAGTCTCTTCTGAGCCCAAGGAATGGTAGTAAGGCCCCTGGTCAGCCTGGACCCCTCCCACTCGACAGCTGGGGCTGTTGGGGCCTGTCCATCTGTTTTCCAGGTGACGGTGGCATGGCTGCGCCCCAGCCTTTCCCATCGGGGCCCCACCTCCAGCCTGCAGGTGCCCTGATGGAGCCCCAGCCCTCCCCTCGAAGCCTGGCCGAGGGCTTCCTGCAGGAGGAGCTTCGGCTTAACGATGAGCTGAGGCAACTGCAGTTTTCCGAGCTCGTGGGCATCATCTACAACCCTGTGGAGTATGCGTGGGAGCCACATCGCAGCTACGTGACCCGCTACTGCCAGGGCCCCAAGCAAGTGCTTTTCTTGGGCATGAACCCAGGACCCTTTGGCATGGCCCAGACGGGGGTAAAGAGCTTGGTTCCCCTGCGGGGTGGAGTGGGAGGGTCCAGGGTGGATGCTTGGCTGCATGTGCTGTGGAGGAGTGTGTGCATGATGGTGGAAACGTGTGGGTGCGCCCCCCACCCCCATCCTCATACCCTGGCTCCTGTGGTCTCAGACACTCTCCCGGCCTCGCTGCCTGTAGTTAACCAAGCACATTAATGGTAGTTCCGTTTCCCTTGTGAGCGGTCCACTAATTGCCTCTGAGAGCCCTTCCTTCCGCCAGCCCCATCCTTACCTTGCCTTGCCGGATCTCCCCTCTCCTTAGAGTGTTGTTGGGGTCAGGAGAGGGACCAGGGCTCCTCAGGGGAGACTGGTTAGCGGGTGATCAGGGAAGAGAGTCAGGGCATTCTGACAGCCCGGGTTCTGTTTCTTAGTCGAGGAGAGGTTGGAACAGAGCCGGCCGCAGGGCCTGCCTGCTTCCCTCTCAGACCTCCGAATGAGCGACTGCCCCTCCGTGGGGGTGCTCGGCAGATGGGGGAGGGGGAGAGGCTTCAGGGCAGGAGGCTCAATCGCTTTTATTGACCCCAACTGGGGGCTGAAAGGTGATCAATGATGATCAATGGAAATGACAGCCCGAGGCTTGAGGCTGAGAGGGCACGCAGGGAGCAACAGTCAGCCCTGTCCTTGTGTCTCCTCTCACCCTGGCCGCCTTTCTGTCCCAGGCCATCTGTCTGTCCCCCTCATTACCTATCACTCCCTGCGTCGGGCCAGATATCCCCTCATGTTTATTGTGCCTGGTCCCAAAGGCTAGTCAGGGTAGATTCTTCTGCACCATAGACCACATAAAAAACTGGAGAAACATGGACAGGCTCAGACAAGGGCCAGGAATCCTAGTTTCCAGCCTTGGGGTGGGGGTGGGGACAGTGGGAGACAGCTAGATCCTTCTGGAAGGTGGAAAGGGGTTGCTTGGTCCAGACCCCAGGCGTCAGGTCTCCAGTTCCAAGCCCTCGTGTGTCTCTCCTCCTCACAGGTGCCCTTTGGGGAAGTGAGTGTAGTCCGGGACTGGTTGGGCCTTGGGGGGCCTGTGCGGACCCCTCCCCAGGAGCACCCCAAGCGACCAGTGCTGGGACTGGAGTGTCCTCAGTCCGAGGTGAGCGGTGCCCGGTTCTGGGGCTTTTTCCGGAACCTCTGTGGACAGCCCGAGGTCTTCTTCCGTCACTGTTTCGTCCACAACCTGTGTCCATTGCTTCTTCTGGCTCCCAGCGGGCGCAACATCACCCCCGCCGAGCTGCCGGCCAAGCAGCGCGAGCAGCTCCTAGGGGTATGTGACGCGGCCCTGTGCCGGCAGGTGCAGCTGCTGGGGGTGCGGCTGGTGGTGGGTGTGGGCCGCCTGGCTGAGCAGCGGGCGCGGCGGGCTCTGGCCGGTTTGATGCCCGAGGTCCAGGTGGAGGGGCTCCTGCACCCCTCCCCTCGCAGCCCACAGGCCAACAAGGGCTGGGAGGCGGTGGCCAAGGAGAGACTGAACGAGCTGGGCCTGCTGCCGCTGTTGACCAGTTGAGCAGCCCTGCGGCTGGCACAGGACATGTTCAAGGCCTTTCCTTCTGGGCCAGCGGATGACCACACGCCTCGGACTGGAGCCACAAGGTCCCCCTGGGCTCCTCAGTTTGGGGGACCTGCCGTTTTGACATTGCTCCTGCTTGCCCTCCTGATTACTCACTTCACCTTCCTTCCGTCTGTGGTACCCAACTCCACAGAGAGCCAACATCTGTGAGCCGCTCTACCTCGCTGCTTCCCTGGAGCCTCTCTCCGGCAGAGAGTGACCCCAACAGTGATTTCTGAGGTCCTATTTGCTGTTTTAGAGAAAAGATCCCACTAGGATCTCCACCTGTCTTAGAACGGCTTCCTGCAGCTCACCCGTCTCCCCACAGGGCCTGGGACAAAGCATGAGTCGTGGCTGCTAAAAGTGAACTTCTGATGAGAGCCTGAGGGTGGGTCGGGGGAGGTCAGTATGGCAGCATGGGAAAGGCCAGAAGACCTGGATTTCCATCCCAGCTCTGAGACTTCTGCACTTTGTGATTTTGGACAAGCGGATTGACCTCTCCAAGCCTCAGGATCCTCATCTATAACAGGGGGTCCCTGCCTCATCGGGCTGGTGTGGGGATTGACTGAGATAACACTTAGAAGTGCCTTGCGTAGTGCCTGGCACGTGGGTGCTCACTACAGCTTTTCTGGCTTTCCTGCCTCCTGGTTGGGGGAGCACAACACTACACTACACTGGAAGCCCCTCTGCCCTGAAGACTGGGGTGAGGGGAGGGGTGGGGGTCTGGGCCTCCACCCATATCCTGAGTGACGGGCAGGGTCTTGCCCTGCCAGAGATGGACCAATGACTTTATGGAAAACCCAGCCTGTGATTTTTCAGGCTAAGCATTAAAAGCTCCTAAACCCTTTTGTGTTGGCCCTTTTTTCCCTCCTGCACGTCAGGGGTGGAAGGTGGTAGTTTATATTTTCCCTTACCTCTTCCTGTTTGCAAAAGGTTCTCTTGGGTGGCTGGGTAATGGTATGAAGTCTCTAATTACCTTGCCAGAGCTGCAGGATCTCTCTTAGAGGCCTGTCGAGTGGTTTGTTTGCTATCTGGGGCACTTCGATGGGTGGATGGGAGCCTGGTATCTCCAGCTAACTCATTTCTTACCTCTGCTGCATGTCTGCCCCTGGGAAAGGGAATCCAGTCAGGAGCATAGACCACCTTAATAAGGAACACGTGATTGGACTCTAGCTCCTGGTATAGACCATCTCCAGACTCAAAATAAGATTTTTAATATGTGTCCTCCCCATCGTATAATAAATAAATTGAGTGGCTTCCATTCTTGGTTGTTGAGAGGGAACCTCTTGGTCCTTGGCATTTCCCAAGCACTGGGAGTTTTGTCATTTATGGTGGGACCCTCAGACTACACATGAGCTTCTGCTGAAATTTGACTCAGGAGGGCTGACCATGCCCAAAAGACCAACTATGTGATCAGAGGGTGGGGACTTCAAGCCAGGTAATATCAGCCTGACCCCCAGGGAGGGGAGGCGGGGTTGGAGATTGAACTCAACCATGTGGTTAATGATTTCAATCAGTTCTGCCTTCATAATGAAACCCTATAAAGACTTTGGACACGGAGACTTTGGTGAACTTCCTGACTGGTGAACAAATGGGTATGTCAGGAGAGTGGTGTGTCCTGATTGCAGGGAAGAAGGGACATGAAATCACTTTTGGACCCTCCCAGATCTTGCATTATGTGTCTTCACTTGGCTCACCCTGATTTGTATCATTTATAATAAAACTGTAATAATATGTGGAGTGCTTTCCTGAGTTCTGTGTCATTTTAGCAAATTATTGAACCTAAGGGGAGTGTAGGAACCCCTGAATTAATAGCCAGTTAGTCAGCAGTGCAGGTGACCTGAGGACCCCTGCACCTGAAGTTGGCGTCTGCAGTGAGGGCAGTCTTGTTGGGCATTTTGCCCAGTCTTGTTGGGCACTTTGTCCTTAAACCTGAGGGGTCTCGGCTAACTCCAGGTGGTTGGCATCAGAATTACAAGAGGGCTCAGTTTCAATCCCTGGTCAGGGGACTAGATCCCACATGCTGCAACTAAGACCCAGCACAGCCATATTAAAAAATAATTACAATTTTGCACCCCCATGTGCCTTAGACTCCTTTCCTCTTTCTGTTGTCAGTGCAATTTTGCTATGTAGTTATTGCTCCATGTTGCAGAGCACTGGGTCAGGCACTGAAGTAATTGCACGGAGATCGAAGCCATTGTTCCCTTATATATTTAGCTAAGGTAGTCAGGGAGAGCTCTCTGGAGGAGGTGGCATTTCAGGTGGCTTTAGAGACTGAGACAGTTTTGGAGAGCATAGAGAAGAGCACTGTTAGATTCATGGGCTGGCAGGTAGATTAATACTGACTTGGCCCAGCTGGGCAAACAAGCAGAAGAGTAAGTTGGGACCAGCTTGTGAAAGGAATTGAATGCTAGGCTAATCTTTGAGGATTTGCAGTCCAGTGAAGGAAGTGAGATGCATAGAACACATGCACGTAAAACAGCCAACAGATGGTGGAGGGAGGGGCCAGCCAGTACAGGAGGCAGTGTAGGTGCAGTGGGGTCAGGAATGGGAAGGGAGGGAATTCGTTTGTAGGGAAGATATCTGGGGGTGATAGAGTTGGTAAGTGTGAAAGCCTAGCATTGGGGTGAGAATCATGAGGTGATAGGGGTAGGGTTGGGCAGAGTGTAAAGGCCCTTGAATAGTGACCAACATGATGACTTAGGTGTGGCAGAGTCACTGCTGGATCTGGCTTCTAGTGGTGGTGTTGCCCTCAATTCTAGGGGTGCATCTTTTTAGGGAGGGGCTGAATACGTCCCTGGGCCTGAAAAAGTCCTAGGCCTCCCTTTCCCCAAGGGCACCATGTTAGTCTGCTAGGGCTGCCATAACAAAATACCACAGACTGGGGGACTTAATTTATTTTCTTACAGTGTTGGAGACTGGAAGTCCAAGGTGCGGATGTCAGCAGATTTGGTTTCTCCTGAGGCCTCTCTCCCAGGCGTGCCTCCTTGCCATGTCCTCCTGTGATCTTTGTTGCACTTCCCTGGTATCTCTCTTCTTAGAAGGGACACCTTGTCTCTTGGATGAAGGTCCCACCCACCCTTTTGACCTCACTTAATTGCCTCTTTAAGGCTCTATTTCCTGATATCTCTCCAAGTCACTTGGGGATTAGGGCTTCAACATAGGCATTTGGGGAGTCACAATTCAGTCCATAACAGACACTGAAACATTGCTGCTTTTTCTTCCCCGACTCATCATGTCAACCACCAACAAATGGGTACTCTCTGCCTTTTCTCCAGTCTGGGGATGGAGGCTGGTGTGATGGTTTAGCTGGCTGATGGGCCTTAACCCACCAGACTGGCCCCTACTCCCCATCCATTCTAGAGCAGGTTCTTCAGTACAAATGGGAGTGTTCTTAGGGAGGGGAATCTCATTATTTTTTCCTGGGCCAAAGGGAATGGTGATGTCAGCTGCTACAAAACAATATTGTGGAAAAAAAGCAAAAAACAATATTGTGAGGTAGTTCCCTGGCAGTCCAATGGTTAGCACTTTGCATTTTCACTGCCAAGGCCTGGGTTCGATTCCTGGTCAGGGAACTAAGCTCCTACAACCTGCATGGTGCAGCCAAATAAAACAAAAAACCAATGTTGTGAAAAGTATTTTAAAGCCAAATTGAAGTGATGTGAAATCATCAAGAGTTTTGCAGTCTGATTCGCTGGCCACTAGCCATGCATGGCAGTTTAATTAAAATGAAGCAAAGTGAAAAATTCAACTCTTCAGTCACTTGCCATACTGCAGGTGCTCAAGAGCCACACATGGCTAGTGGCTACTGATTGGATGATGCAGACACAGAACTTCCATCATCGTGGAAAGTTCTATTGGATAGAACTGTGAATCAGTTCACATGTAGAGGCGTTAAAAAAGGAGTGTCCCAGCTCCACTTTAATAAGAGATGTTGGTTAGGGAGCTCTGAAGCACAGCCTCATATCTGTTTTTCTCTTTGTATTCTGGACATGCAGCCAAGGTGAAGACAGGATTGCACTGGGTGTCCTGGAGGCAAGGAGAGGGTCTCATATTCCTTTCGTCGTGTATAACCCTACACCTGGTGCACAGTAGGTGTCCAGGATGAATGTACAAGCCATGCTCAGATCTGGGTTTGGAGATCTACCCCAGAGTGTCCATCCATTAGCATGAATATCTTCAGAGTTTATTGTTTTTTGCCAGTGATGGTGATGCCAGTTCTGGTTCAGAGGAGTGATGGGGTCTTCTAAGTCCCACCCCAACATGTATGCATGCACACACACATGCACACAAGTATACATATTCAACTGGATAGAAACCAAACTGGGCTTGGGGGTAGGGGTGCTTCTGAAACTCTGCAGGATGGAGTGTGTTGGGAGGAAAGAGACTTTTCCTCTTTTTTTTTTTTCCCTTTCTGAAACAGGATGGCTTAAAGGAAAATTGAGTCGTGTCTGACTGTTGTGTGGTCCTTCACTTCCCCAATTTGACAAACATTTATTGATGTCTGCTGTGTGCCTTTCCCTACACTAGGTACCACAGAGGGTGACAGAGGTAAATTAGATGGTTCTTTGCCCTCACATTGCTCACTGTCGGACCCTAGGAGATACAAGCATATGGTTATAGTATAAATCAAGCGGAAGAGGTGTTGTGAGCAAGTTCTAAACACAGTGCTCTGGATACATGGACTGAGGAAGGGATCAGCTCTCCATGTGGGCAAGAGGTTGTGTGCCAGTGGGATAGGGTGGTGACTGGGGAGTTCTTCTATCATCACCTTCTGGGTCTTGCCACCTCCATGGGGTGGGTGTTCAAAAAAGGGGACCATGGTGTCAGATTGCCCCAAGAATTCCCAGTCCTATCTGCAAGGATGAGCTCCAGGCCAGGATTGGCTGGAACCAGGGGTTGGGCTTGGCTCTATAGGAGATGGGTAAGGGGGTTTCCTTTTTTTTTTTTGGGGGGGG